AAAATTAGGATGAGAGGTCCCATTTAACCCAGCCATTCCCCTTCTGTGTATTTTCCTAGAAGAATTAAAAACATCATACCACAGTGGTATATGCGCACCCATGTTTATAGCAGCACAATTTGTAATTGCTAAATTGTGGAAGCAACCCAAATGTCCATCCACTGAGGAATGAATAAAAAAAATTGTGGTACTTTTATGTAATGGAATATTACTCAGCTATAAAGAAAGATAAACTCAAGTCTTTTATAGGTAAATGGATGCAACTTGACACCATACTCATAAGTGAAATAAATCAGACTCACGTGTAAACACCATATTGCTTCCCTAGAACCTGAAAGAGTAAATAAATTCTGAAAAGTACAATCGATACTGTGAAGGGGAAAGAAAAAGAAAAGTACAATAGATACTTCTCAGATTGGAAAGAACACCTGGGAGGGAGGAAAAGAAAAAAAAAAGAAGGAAGGGAAAAATAGGTATATTTATATACGTAAGATAGCTAAGATAATTGTACTACTAGTTTCTATTGGTTTATTGAAAGGAACAGTTAATGGGTAATTGTTTGATCAATCTTACATGCCTGTGTCTGGTTGTCTGAGTAACAACTTTGAGGACAGCGGTGTGTAGGATAAAAACCATTGGTGATTTCCTATCCCCTTGTTTTGAAATTTTGTATCATTTTTATTGTTTTTATGTTGTTTTTATTTATGCCTTTTTTATATTTTCTCTTTAAAATTAAAGAAAAAGAAGAAAAAATATACATGTATATACAAAGATAGCTGAGGTAAGTGTATTCCTGATGTCTATAGGTTTATTGAAAGGAACAGTTAATGCTTAATTTTTTTTATTTTCTGTTGACCAATTTTGCATGCTTATATCGGGTAATTGGAACAACTAATTTGAAGACAACAATATGAAATATAACAACCATTGCTGAATTCCTACCATCCTGTTTAATGAAGCTCTGCATTATTTCTAATGTTTCTTTATTACTTTTTATTGTCTTTAATTGTTTGATCAATCTTGTATTCTTACATCTGGTAATATAAGCAACTTCACTGAAGATAACAATATGTAATATAACAACCACTGTTAATTCATATCAGTCTGTTTTGAAATCCTGTATTGTTTTTCTATTGTTTTGTTTTTGTATTCATTGTTGTCATTTTGTTATTTTTTTCTTCTTTAAAGTAAAAAAATTTAAAAATTAAAAATAAAATTTATAATTATAAATATATATTTATAATATATTATAAATTATAAATATTATAAATTATATTAGATATGATATTATATAATTAATATATTAAATATATTCTCATTAAATAATATAATTAACTATAAATTAAATATATTATTGAATTAAAATAATTTAAATATAATCTATAAATATACTAATAGTCATTGAATTGTACATTTAAGATGGATGAATTTTATGATTTACAAATTATGCTTCAATGAACTTTTAGAAAATTAATGCTGAGAAAATAATCTAAAAATAATCTAAGATGAACAAAGCTCTAAGTACTATGATGTTCATTGCAGTGCAACTGTAAGGTAAAAAGTTGAAACACCTAAATCACTGAGGTCTAGTCAATCGTACAGACATCATCTGGTTTCTTTTCCTTAAGAAGCAGTACTGTCTGGAGAGAAGAGTAAGTTTCACTCTCAAGGACTGATATGGCATTTCCTCAAAAAACATTTCTCTCACCCTCTTCTCCATGGTTTCCTCTATCCCTGCACTAACTAGTTCTATGTCTTAGGTAACTTCCTACCTGCCTGGGAATTCCTCTTGGGTCAGAGTCTATGTCTAGCTTATTTTTGTATCTCCAGTGTCAACCGTGCGAAAAGTAGATATTCAGATGATGTCTGTGTGAGATTGTGTGGTTGTGGTTGAGTCTGACACCACCTATACTTTATGCAAAAATGTCTCTTTCTCTCACTTTGGATAATGAACAACAATAATAACTATACCTCATCCTCACAACAATCCTATGAAGTCAGTTCTATGATAGTCCCATTTACCAAATAAGGAATCTGGAGCTTAGTGAACTACACAGCTGCTAAGAAAGTGTGGGTGAATCTGACTCCAGAGTAAATACATTTTTCCCATTACCTTTTCTGCTAACCCATTTCAAACAAGGGCAAAATATAGATCAGGTGATTCAGAAGGGAAGTACACACATGATCAGGAAATATATAAAAAATACTCAATCTCATTAATAATCAAAGGAAAACCATCAAAGCAACACCAAGATATAACTTTTAGTGCCTAAAGAGCAACAAACATTCTAAAAATTGATAATAATAATAATATTGGAAAGACTGTGAGAAAATAATACACTTACACTATGGTACACCACTGGTGGGGATGCATAAATATGCACTGCGCAATAACAAAATTTATACATTTTGACCAGGAATTCTTTTTTTCTTTTTAGGATGTCATATTATCAATATACTCCTATATGTGCCCAAAGATATTTCCTGCAGTGTTATTCAATATTTAAAATGAGGAATAGCCTAAACATTTATCAATAAGGGAGTGTTTGAATAAATTTCATTACATTCAGATTCTATAATATTATAACTCCATTAAACAGCAACTTTATTTGGAAAGATCTTCGTGGCATATTGGCATATAGCCAAATAAAATTTATAGATAAAATGTAGGCTATGATTTTATTTATGAAGACATCACATTAATGACTGTAACCTCCTCCAGTGATGAAATTGCCTTGGTATAATCCTGCTGCCTTGGGATTGAGAAGGAAAGAGGCAAAAGAAAACTAGAAAAGAGGAAGAAAATGTTTAGAAGGGATAAAGAGAGGGTAATAGAAAAAAGAAGACAGAGAACAAATTTTTAACTGTATATTCTGAGAGGGAACAGAGAATGTAGGTTCTACTACCAGACTGCCTAGGGTCACAGTTGGGCTGTGTACTTTCTACTTGGATAATTATCAGTAGGTTGTTTCACCACTCCAAGCACTACTTTCTTAATAAAGTGTATCTATCCCTTAAAGTTCTTATGAGACTAAATTAATCCATGTAAAGCACTTAACAGTAAGCACTCAATCACCACTAGCTCTTATTTCTTTACACTAAGCACTGTGGTGTTTTCCATACATGATATTATTGAATCATTACAACACCCTGACACATACTCTGTGGAAACTGTTAGTGCTCATAAGTATAACCATGTATTCTAAATGAACTTCAGAACCTTCTCCACTTATGCTACAATCACTTGAGTTTTTTGTTTTGTTTTGTTGCCCTCCTTTTATGATAGAAAACATAGACAGACAGACAGTTGATTTTTCTTAAGGTTCCCTAGTGCTATAAGGATAGTCCTGATCCCAGAGTTCAAATGATCTACCTCAGAGAGAGAAGTGAAAGAAAATAGAACGGGAAGAGTCAGAGCTGGAGGAGGGGAAAGTCCAGAAGGAACTACTTCGAGTTTTATCTCTAGCAGAGGCCTGAGATACTTTTGGGGCCAATGCAGGGCCAGGCCAGCCATAGGCGGGGTAGGTGGGGCTAAGCCAGGGGTTAGGGATAAATGCCAGGTCCTAATCCACAGCACCCATCCGTCTTTTGGTTCGTCCTCAGTGCAGGGCAACAGGTAAGAACTGCTCTCAGCCTGGTCCTTCTCTCTTGTCTGCCTGCCCACCTCAGATCCATGCGTACCTATTTTCTGGTTTAACTAGGTCTGACTTCCCCTTTGGCTGTTTCTTAGAAACTCTCATTTTATTTTTTTTGTCCCCCCATGTCTCTTCCTGTTTTTTCCTGTTTTCAACTTTCCTTTGGTTTTTTTCCCTTTATTTCCTCTCCTTTTGTAGTTTTCCAAGATCACTCCACTCTCCAACACCGTTCTTTTCTCATACTTTTCCTTCCACTGAATTCTTTCTGTACATTTTTCTCTAAATTTCTTCTCCCTCTTTCTGTTTCTTGCCTCAACTGTATCGCACAGTCTATCTCTGTTTTTATCTTTTCCTGTCCTTCTATGTTTTCTATCAAGAAAGATGTCTTAATATTTCTTCTTGCAATTCTCCATTCCTCCTTGCCTTCCACTCGTCTCTGCTTGGCCAAGAGAGTGAACTCCATGGGTTAGAACTTAGGGGCCAGGACTAGGGAGGGAAAACTGACGGGCTATAATGAGAATGGAAATGAAGGAGTGAGTAAAGAGAGATTTGTGGGAAGTTAGAGGTGAATAACGTAAATGAAGTGGTAAGGTAAAAGAGAAATGTGTCACTCTGCAGAAAGTCATTAGATTTGTATTCTCACTCTAGTTCACTGTGAGACCATAGACAAAGCATTCATCCTTTGAAGAAAAGGGCTTGAATAGCAATTTCCACAACTTTTTCTAGTTTTGAGTTTGTGGTCTTCTAAACATTTCTGTTGCTAAGGATTTTTGATTATCTGATTTCATGTATATATAATTCTGTATGATTCATTAATAGTGGGAAGAGAGTACTAGAAAGGGAGGTAAGGCCTGATGCTTCCAGCTCCTGAAAAGAATTATCCAGTCCCCTTCCAAGACTAACTGATCTTTGCAAAGCAGGTGACAAATGGCAGAGAATGAGGTGAGGAATGCTGTAATGAGTGGTTTCTGGTTTGTTACTGCGGTGACATTGTGATTAGTCCTTCTGACCTCAGAGATTACCAATTGGGTGCTAACGTGAGAGAAAATTCTAAAGATGCAGGGAAAAACATCTGAGTAATGGCATGTCACTTGGTCTAAAAGTCTCTGGTTGAAATCATTGTTTGAAAAAGATCACTAGCAAGCATTTTGACACAGGGGTGCATAAATTGTTAAATGGTGGAATGAATGAATATTCCATAGTACCTGAAATTCTACTTTAGATACACATGTTATTTTGGTACAGAAATTAGTCATAAAAAGCCAATATCCCTGAACAATGCCTATGTTAGTTCAGCAAAGGATATCAATGTCTAGAGTCAGGTCTCTGCTAATAAAATATGTAATATTTGAATCATGGGTCATAGTAATTAAATTAGTAGTTTTGAGCTAGATTGCTTAACTGAAATCCTAGCACTTATTAGCTCTGTGATCTGAATAAGTTACTTAATCTTTTAGCGCCTTAGATTCTTTATCATAGGCTTCCCATAAGCATTAAATAAATTTATGCTTATAAAGCATTTGCAAAGGAGTTTGAAAAGTAAAGGACTCTTGAGTGTTTGACTATCAGAACAAAACTGGGTCTATGAAATTATCTAACCCGATGTCTAACAAGAATCCGGGTCCCAGAGAGGTTATGTACAGAGCCCAAGTTCATCTGGTAAGCTGTAACAGGTTCAGGACAAAATTCAGGGCTCTAGCTTTCCAAACTCAGCTTGATATACTCATGATGCAACTTTCTATGACTGTAGTTTCATTTTCCCTACATAGAAAAATACATTCTCACTATTCACTCATGGGTAGGTTTACTTCCAAATACATACATGAAGTGTCTTTCTGAATCTTCATAACATCCCTGTGAGGTAGACCATCCTTCTTATCATCTATATTTTACAGACATAAAATATAGAGCATGAAAATGACTCCTTAAGATCCCAGAGATAGTGAGTGGTGGAACCAAGATACAAAAACAAATGATCTGGCTCCAAATACTATGCTCTTAATGGCCTAAATTATCTAAAATGTTTCCTTGATCAGTTTTATTCACTCCAATCGCATGGTAGGTAATGGTATAGAATGGATACAGCACCCAAGCTGCCTAGACTACAAAGTTATGGGTCATAATTACGGCCAGGAAAAGTAAGTTCCAGAAAAGGAGCATCACAACAGGAAAAATTGGGACTCAAACTGGAAAAAAAGAACTTGAATAGTAGTTTGTTTTCCTAAGACCCTGACCACATAATGGCAGAAAGCCCCTTACAGAAGATAAGTATATTGACTTCCATGGAGGGTAGGCCTGTATCCACCCCCATTCCAAGACAGAATTGGAAGAATCCACCAGAATTCCAAGTCCCTTCAATATTAGGGACTTTCTTTCTTATTATATACTTCAATGTCATTATTGTTATTGGGGTAGACATGGCGAGAAGGAGTTTTCAGGAATTTGGCCACCTGCCCTGTCTGCCTCTCTCCAGGCTACTCATCTTTGCTTTCCACCAATAGCCACTCGCTTAATAGCCAGCCCTAACCAGATGCTCACATGTGATTCCAGGAAGGTGCTCTGCTTCTCTCCTATGCCCTGGGCTAGGTTTGGGGAGTGATCATACCCCAGAGGCGATAAACTCTGGGAGTTTTATCTGTGGTCTGCAGGCTCATCCCTGAGTGCTTTAGCCTTCATGGGCAGGCAAGGGAATGGAAACTCTTATCTCCAGATATGAAGTAGGTACTGGGTCCAATTCATGACCTGCTATGTGAATAGCCATAATTACCTCACATTTCACAGCTGATGAAAGCTAAACCCTAAAAAAGAAGTGACTTATCTAAGAACATTCAATAAAGGAATTTGGGAGCTTGTACTTAATTAAGAAAAGCTAACATTTATTTTGAAAATCTACTGTGTGCCAGGCACCAGCCTAAAGTTTAACATGCGTTATTTCATTTAATGATTTGAACAATTCTGCCTTTCCTAGTTTTGGGGTCCGCATGCCTTGGCCCCACCTACTAACCCAGGCTGCTGTGACAGTCTGCAACAGTGAGGAAGGATACTCTAAGATGGAATACATGGAAGAGATTACTTTGTGAAATTAGAGGAGGTTTTTTGCTGTATGAAATTGGGAAAGAGGGAGGTGAAGGAGGTTGCCGTATGATGACTGGATCATGAGCTCCCCCTGCTCACATCTCCCTGAAAACAGGCTTTATACAATGAGGATACTGTTCAGTTTTATTCAGTCCCTTTCTTGGCAATGCCAGAGCTGCCTTAGTCTTCTTATATTGCCCCATTTCTCTCCCACTGCACTGCCCCTCATCTTGTTTTACCTTTTGATTCTGGATCTACATTTTGCCCTTTTGCTTTCAATCTCTTTCTCCCTCTTGACATCTGTAACTTCTTTCTCTTAGCATCTCTCAGTCTTCCCACCTCTCATCCTCCTTTTACCCTTTCAGCCACCTCTCTGTCTCTACCTTTTAAAAAAAAAATTCTCTACTGCCTTATCTATGCCAGGCAGTGTTTCCTCATCTCCCTCACTAGGTCCTCACTCCTCTTAATTCTTTATTGCTTAACTTTCCCTAATATCTCTCCTTTATCTGTGTTTCTGACTGACTCTCTGCCCCTGCCGGATTCTCTACACTTCTGCATTCAGTTTTCTGAGTCTTTGCATCTTCCTCTAGGCTCACAGAACTATCTTCTCCCCGTCTGTCTCTTTGTCTATCTATCTCTTCCTCAAGCCCTGCATTCGCATTCGCATTCTCTCTCTCCCTCCCTCCCTCTCTCTCTCTCTGTCTCTCTCTCTTATTCATTTTTCCTACCATCTTTTGTTCCTATCATTCTCTTGTCCTGTCTTTCAGGAACAGTTTGCCTCTCCATGACCATTATCTCTACTCTGTCTTCTTTCCTTCTGGTTTTGATCTCTTTCTCGCTCACAGTTTTTGTTCTTCTAACTCTACTACTTCTTCATTGTCTCTCCACTTTCTCTTTTTTCTTTTTATCTGAGTCATCCCCTGCTTCCCTTTTCTTTCCTCCATTTCAGATCCTGTTCATTCATTAAATTATTTCCAAATTTAGAAATATTTATGGAGTGCTATATGTTATTTAGTTTTTCTTTTTCGGATTTTCTCTCTGGCCTCCTTTTCCCTCTGTCTTAGCGTCTTCCTCTTGCACAGATGCACAGAACATGTACCGTGCCTTATCTTGCAACTCTCTTGCATCTTGCTTTCACCTCCTCCTTTGTGCTTATCTAAACATCTGGAGAACTTCCAGAGATAGTGAAACACCAGACAGTCTGTAGGCTTAGGCCCTGCCTTTCTTCTTGTGTTCTGGATCTCTTCTAGCTAACAACCCTGGCTTCAAGGTCCTTCTCTGGCAGAGTCTGCTCAGGAAACGTGTTGGGTCAATCTTTAGGGGCTCTTGTTAATTGTATCTGTTTGCAGGGGCTGGGGATTTAGCTCAGGGGCACAGCGCCTGCCTGGCAAGCGCAAGGTCATGACTTTGATTCCCGGTACTGGAAAACAAAACAAAAAAAAAAAAAAATTGTATCTGTTTGCATTAAAAGGTTGAATCTTTACTTGGTTGAGCCCAATATTAGAAACATTCTTGGCCATAAGTATTAATCAAAAGGTTGGTTGGTTGTCAACTTTCATTGTACAACACATAAACATATTTTTCTGACCTCCAGTTAGAATTCCTTCTTTCAGTATTTCATCGAGAGGCCAGTTTCCTATTTCTTCCTCTATGATGTCTTATTGGTACAGTTTAACATTTGAGTAGAAGTTCTTTCGCTGGAAGGATAACAAAGACATCTCTGAAGAAGGCAGTAACTTTGAGTGGGCAGGTAAAGACAAAAGAGCCAACACAAGAATGATTCTTGGCTTTTGGCCAGATCCTAATGCTGGAACCTCATTTCTTTCACATTTTCTGCAGGAGTTCGGGCTCAAGATGGTAGCAGTAGCCATGTTACTACAGTACTGCCCAGTGCTTGCCCGGACCCCCACTGGCCTCTTGGGCAAAGTGATTAAGACTCATCAGTTCCTGCTTGGTACCGGACGCTGTCCCATCCTAGCCACCCAAGGACCAACCTGTTCTCAAATCCACTTTAAGGCAACTAAGGCTGGAGAGGGTAAGAAGAGGTTGCTGGAACAAGGGGGAAATATCTGGGTCATAAAGACAAAGTTCCAAATCATACTGGCTACCATTTAATATTTAGAAAAGTTCATGTGAAAAATGTCAAGGCAGAATGAACTGACCTAAAAATATACCAGGGAGAATACACCCTGTCTTCTATCAGGCTTTCTATAAAGTCTACTCCCATGTTCTTCCTATTCTATGCTGCAGTCATGCTGAAACCAATTAAAAAATCCAGATTCAAACCTATTGTCACAAGATTCTGTACCTTTAGTCCTGATATATTACTCTGTCCCACACAGAGTACAAGGGCATCTGATATTTCTCATTCAACACTGAGCTTAGGGATCATCTCCTCTGCAAAGCCTGCCTAGACCACTAACCTATTCAGTGCCAATTCTGGGTCACAATCCCCTAAATATTCTAGATTTCCATAAGCCATGTCTTCCCTCCTACCCTAGCACTTTACAGTGTGTCTTCAGTGTGACATTCCCATCAGTGTAAGACCTTTCTTAGTGTAGAGACCAGACTTATCCAGCTGTGTGTCTCTCCCATAATCTGAGATAAAGCTTTGTGATATAGCAGGTCTCAACAATCATTGTTGAATTGAACTTATGGCTATGAATATACCATCAATTACCTTTATCTTTTCATAGATTCTCCATCTTGGGCCAAGGGCCACTGTCCATTTATGCTGTCAGAACTCCAGGATGGAAAGAGCAAGATTGTGCAGAAGGCAGCCCCAGAAGTCCAGGAGGATGTGAAGACTTTTAAGACAGGTTAGAGTTGAGTTCCACTTTATCCAACCTCTATTGCATGAAACCACTCCATCACAGCCCTGAGCTAGGCTAATCCAGAGGCAGCTAGTACACATTCCCTGATGGGAAGTCTAAATCATTTCTTACGAAAGTTATGGTAAGGAGTAGCTTAGACTGTTCAATGAAGCACACCCAACACAACACACACATATGCACGGGCTCTCCTAACTTTTAGCCATGAGTGTAATTAAGATAAGCCTTCTAGAATTCTGCTTCCTCTCTCCCAGGTAGCTTAATAAGTCCGAAAAGGCTGAGCTCCCACATTTAAGCAAGATCACATCATGAGAACCTGGATTTCCATGAAAGAAAAGGGTTCAAAGTAGCTACATCATTTATTTTATTTTAATTTTTTACATAACATATCCCCTTTTCACAGAAAAAAGTCTTGAATTAGCAGTTTCATTAAAACAAATTTAAATAAAATTTTATTCTCAACAGGATATGTGCTTTGGAAGGGAGTGGGACCCCAACTCAATTTGATTATTGTAGTCAATTCAACTGGTACAGACTCGCAAAGATAATAATGTGAAAGATAGCCACACTGTTGCCATCTTTCGTAGGTTTTTTGGGGATATAATTGGGGCCCAAAAAATTCAAAACTGAAATTTAATGGTGCTAAAGAACAGTAGAATAAGGTTCATCTATCTTCTAAGTGCAGGACTCAGTGCAGCTTTCCATGGTTCCCTCACCCAAGGGAAAACCCTAGTGAGGATAATTGTGATTCACCTTATAGAAGGTTTATTGACGGTACAGGAATTGTCACATGGGGAGATGAGCAGGAGCTTATTTTTCAGATTTATTTTTTTTCTGCAGAAGGCTTCTACACTTTATAAACTTATTTCTATGCAATGCATTGGGCCTAAAGAGGACAACATATGCTTTCCTTTATTCTCCCCCTCTTCATGCCAATGAACCCAATACATCCTCTCAGACTTGCCAAACTCCCTGGCCCCAAGTAGCCTAAAGAAACCATTCACTGGTCCTCAGGACGCAGAACAGACTTCAGGGACACTCCCACATCTGATTCAGAACAATATGGCTGGTAAGTATGCTGAGGTGGAAATAAAGGGTGTCTGAGACAGTAGAGGTAAGGGACTGGATGGACTTTGAAATCAAAAAGTGTCTGAGTTTACGTTTTACTACTGAAACTTGCTGGATCTATTTACTTTGGCAAGTAAGTTATTTCCCTTCAGTGGGATTTTAATACCTGTAACCGGTTATCATGAGGAAAAGATAAAATCACATTTACTGAAGTGTAGCATTTCTAGCATGTCATCAGGAGACCTCATTAAATATTTTAGGCTTACTCTCATTATTTCTTTTTCTTCTTTTCCTCAAAAACTCTCATCCTTTACAGACACTTTTTACCTCTCTGGAATGTATTTATATTCATTTTTCATATTCGCATTTAATTTTTCTAACATAGAATATCTTCATTTGTAAATATTTTCAGCAGATTCAGGAAAATATAAAGAGGAAAATTTATGTTCCTGAAGTTCTATCATCCACCTTAACTTTTTGCTGTTTTCTGTAAGATATATTTCTTTGGCTAAACACACACATACACACACACACACAATCACACACACACACACACACAGAACCCGTTTCTGCTTTTCTAACTATATACATATTGTCTTCAAAAATATGATCTTATTCTCTTTGGTTTTCTTTCTTTAAATTATTTTGTCTTTTTGAAACAGGGTCTCACTATGCAGTTCAGGCTGGCTTTGAACTCACTTTGTAGCCCAGGCTTGTCTCAAACTTGCAATGATCTTCCTGCCTCGACCTCCCAAGTGTGGTGATTATAGATATGCACCACCACACCCGGCTTTTATCTGATTTTCATTTATGCTGCTTTGTTCACTTAACAGTATGATCTGGACCTCATTCCATACCCAAAAACATAGAGCTGAGCAACAATTACTAGTGGTTGAATTGTATCTGTGGTGTTGATACATCATTCAGTTAATCAACCACATATAATTTAGGTTATTTTCTATTTTATGCATTCCTTCAGTTTAGTGTATTGTTTTTCATATATATAAATATACCAAAAAATTTGTATAGTATTATCTTTCTCAGTTTTTTTAACCTAATGAGTCACTTACTTGCTGAAAACTTACTGTATGATTTTGACCAAGTTAACTAAGCTCTTTATGCTTCAGTTTCCTCATCTGTAAAATAGAGATACTAACAAAACTTTTCACATAGGTTTCTTGTGGGTAATAAATGAAATAATATTTTTAAAGTGCCTAGAAGATGGCCTTATGTGTATTAAATATTTATTAAATGTTTGCTATGGTAATATACCCTTTAGCTATTTTTATTACTAGTATTATTATCATAGTAGTAATACTACTTCTATTAATATGTGCCAACTGTTAATCTGGGTGTGCACATGCTGTTTGTAATCAGATACTTACAGTTCTACAAGGAACATATTATTGGCCCTATTCTACAGTTGAGGACATTAAAACAGAGAGAATTCATGACTGGTTTCAGGCCACATCACTAGCAAGTAACAGAGACATGACGAAAAACTACACACATTGATAATTCTTCCACTGAATCTGAAAGTTGTAATTCCAGAAAGGATATTTCCACACTAACCCTGGGAAGGGGAATGAGGAAATGACAAAGGCAGGAAGCCTGAATGAATGTGTGAATGAATTACTAAGTGAATAAGTAAGGAAAAGAATGGTTGAATGAAATAGTGGAGAATTAATATGATCCAACAAGTCAGTGACTAAGCAAATAAATGAGTTTATGGAAGAAAAACTGGAAAATCAATATTAACAACATGGATAAAATATAGAGTAGAAAGGAAGATTTGAAATGAATTCTTTTCATCCCCATCTCTACTTCTGCAGGAATCCATGCTTTTGATTATGACCAGTTTTTCAGGAATAAGATCATGGAGAAGAAACAGGACCACACTTACCGTGTTTTCAAGACAGTGAACCGCTGGGCTGAAGCATATCCTTTTGCCCGACATTTCCCTGAGGCATCCGTCGCCCCAAAAGATGTGTCTGTCTGGTGTAGTAATGACTACCTGGGCATGAGCCGGCACTCTCGGGTCTTGCAGGCCACGCAGTGAGTAGTAGAGACTGGACTATAAACTGTGTGCATAAATCTAGAAAAGATCTAGAACCAGATCTGATCGTGGAAACCTGGGTTATACCACAACCCCTTTTGTCCAAGGTCTTCCAGCACATCTACTCTGCACATATTAAGTAAGTCACTCAACACACCATGTTTTCTAAACTCTTAGGTGTTTGGTGCTATGGAGGAAAAGGATTGGCCAAGCAAGGCCAATTCTCTATGAGCTCTTAATTTAACTGTAGAATGGATATTGTCAGAGATTGGGTGTGGCCTCCTTTAGGTTTTTCAAATAGCTCAAGCTCAGTGTAGCTTTTCTCTCTATCCCTGAGTTCCTCCAGCTCTGGAAGAAATGGTATGTCTTCCTATCCTCCTCACTGTACTCTCTACTTGGTCACGCAAGACACAGTTCATATAGGATCACTAACATTGATCCCAATCAAGGAAGGGCAATCTACTCAGTTCCTCCATTCCTGATGAGATTTTTTTTTTTTTTTTGTCTTTTTCTGGTATCTTTTCTATTTTCCCCTGGCCAGAGAGATTCTACATCGTCATGGAGCTGGAGCTGGTGGTACCCGAAACATCTCAGGTACCAGTAAGTTTCATGTGGAGCTTGAGCAGGAGCTAGCTGAACTGCACCAGAAGGATTCGGCCCTGCTCTTCTCTTCCTGCTTTGTGGCCAATGACTCTACACTCTTCACGTTGGCCAAGATCCTGCCGGGTAAGCTTGAGGCCTGAGCTTTGGTCAAGGATGGTGCTCTGCAATACAGCATCTACTCTCACTGCCACCATTGCTCATTCCCTCTATTCTAAGTTCACTTGCTCCTATTTTCATTTGTACCCACCATACACCTAAAACAGTGTATGACTATATCCCTCTTCTCTTTTTTCTTTTGTACCTATGCTGAGAAACAGTACTGGGGAACATTCCCCAAGCTCACAGAAGAGCAAAACCATAAATTCATTACCTTCCAACTCAACTGGGCACTTAACACTCATCAGTAGTTCTTTTGTGTCTCCAGAAGATGTTACAAACCATCTTTCCTCTCTAAAAGTTCTGACTACCTTCTCATTCACTCTTGGTAAATAACTCCACATCTCCACAAATAACACAGAAGTATGGAGACAGGATCTCCTTATTTATTGACATTAAACTTACAAACTTATCCAATTGTTCATCTACCTTTCCTTATTCTTTCCTCTTACAATGAAAGATACATTTCTCATTCTGCCTGAAGCCAATTCCTTTATCCATACGCTGGATCTTATGTTTCCACTCTCCCCACTCTCCAGCCAACAATATCATATCTTCATATGCCTTTTCATCCATCCATCCCTCCATCATACCCTCAATCCAGAATGAAAACAACTCTCAACATCCCCTACATCAATGCTTAGCTCATATAATTATTAAGATAGGAACCACTAAAAAGTCATATTCCTCACCCCCACTCCCGATACTTTGTGCTATCTAACATTGCTACTTCCCTGGTCAATTTTTCAAGTTTCTGGAGCAGTTTTGCTCCAGTCTCAATCCACAACCTTTCTTCCCTCCCCTCTTCATCAGTTCTCCACGCTTCATACCCCACTGAAAATAGAAGATAGCAAACACCGATATCCTCAACTCTTAGGCACAAAGTACCTACAAACTTACAAACATCCCTACCTGTTCTCTTCTCACTCTTTCTCTCCTGTCACAGTTTAGTAAGTGTCCTTTTTCTTGCTGACACTTCACTGGTGTTCTGTGTCTCATTACCTCCTCAGGAAACTTGATTTACCAACTCTCTTCCTCTTGCCTGTACCTTTAATTATGTTAAAATCTCTTGCATTTAAAACAAACATTGCCTCAACTCCCCATCACTCTCTTGCTACTGCCTTGTCTCTCTTCTCCTTATAACAGGCAAACTGCTTGAGAAAAGTCTCCACATTTGCTGTCTACTACCTCACCTTTTGCTGATTCTTCAGCACACTATAAATATCACCATTCCTTCTTGGAAACTTTTCTGAAGTCAGCCGTAACCCCCAAATAAACTCAACATCTTTGAGATATTTTGTCAGTCCCCTCCTCTTCAACCATTAGAATTCAGCTTTGTTCCATCTCTACTGCCACCATTTTAGTCTAGTCCAACATCGTACTAAACATTTCACTTTTGTCCTTATATAATCTATTCTTCAGAGAAGTCTGAACAATGTTTTAAAAACTGCAAGCCTATCTTTGTTGCTCTCTTGGTCAAAACTCCTTAATGGATTACTGTTATCCTTAACAGTAAATCTAATGGCTGTAATGGCTTCTAAAGATCTCAATAATCTAGCTTGTACATATTTCTTCAGCCTTATCATTGCACACACCTGCTGTTACTCTTTATGAGGTAATTTATTCATTTACTCATAAGTCAGTCATTTGTTTATGCATCCATTCACTCGAGATATTTACTTAGCATTTACTGTGTACTGGTGACAAGGTATAGAAAGATAAATGGATTTTGTTTCTGTTCTCAAGAAACTCCCAGGCCAAGGTGGAAAAACCTGGGTTCAATCCCCAGTACCGCAAACAAAATAAAAAACAATAACAAAAACAAAACTAAACTCTCAGTTTTTCAAACCATGTACTCTAAGTAATCTGACTCATTTTCTCAAGTAGAAGTTATCCCTCACTCTTATGAAGGGCCACAGTTCCTTGATGTCCGTGCAATTTACGCAGTTCAAGAATCAAGTCTCTCCATTAATTTCCCACCCTGACCTGCCCTTGCACAATTGCACAGTAAAAACCCTGCATTCCTCAGGTTCTACATAAAGGTCTTCTTCCTTCTTCCATGTAAAGGAAGGAACTGGATTCCATGGTGATTAACTGCCTTTCTTGCTCTGACTTTCCAGAGCTTATGATTCCAACACCCTAAGCCTGATAGGTTTTTATCGCTATACGCATGACCGTATTGATGCTACTTGGAAGACTGGGATTTCATGTAGACCAGGAAGATTCAAGCATCAGCCTAAATCTACAAGCATTCTCTGGGGAAAAAAATAAACCTTTCCAAGTCTTGATCTTATGTGTTGTGGAGAATGAAACTAGGCCTGTCCTCAAGGAACTCTAAAGCTTCCTGGGAAATTAAATTTTCCTCCACCCTATGATAGAGGCCAGACCAGAGTTAGAAATGACTAAAAGAAGAATGTGAGGTCAGAATTTCAGGAGAGGGGAGTTCTTCTAAAGTATCAAAAAGGTTTCCAGAGGAAGAGAAAGCAAACTATGGTCTTCAAAGTGAAGAAGAGATTCACTCTCCCCACCTGCCAGGTCAGATCTCGAGGTTGAAATGGGAGTACTGAGACAGAGCTTAAGAATTATACATCTGCTTCCTCAGGGTGTGAAATTTACTCAGATGCAGGCAACCATGCTTCCATGATCCAAGGTATTCGCAACAGTGGTGCAGCCAAGTTTGTCTTCAGGCACAATGACCCTGACCACCTGAAGAAACTTCTAGAGAAGTCCAACCCTAAGACACCCAAAATTGTGGCCTTTGAGACTGTTCACTCCATGGACGGTATGTATATATGTGAGTGTATTGGAATTGTCTCATAAAAACCATTTTTAAGGTGATTACTGCATGATAAGCTAAATTATTAGTATTTTACATGTATTAATTTATGTCTCAGAATTCTATGAGGTAGATGCTAGTACTATTTTTATTTTTTACATGAGGAAGATGAGAAGTAAACAAGTAGAATAACTTACATAGGGTCATACAACTAATTAATGCCAAAGGATAAAGACAATTATTTCACTCATCTTAAAGGTAAAGAAACTAACGTTTTGTTTCTGTATTTTTACCCTAGGCCATATAACTCTAACTCCTTCACATGACACTCCTTCCATTAGAAATAATGTCCAAATCAATTACGCCAGTGTTTCTACAATGGAAAGTTTCACAAACCATTGCCTAGGATTCTTTTTTTCAAGTTCTGATATGAAGCACTGAAATCAAAACAGGCTTTCAAATCAGACAGAACTACGTTCAGTGTACCTTTGATACACACTGTCTGTACGACCTTGGGCAACTCTAACATGCTGAGCCTCAACTTTCCCCAAGGGAAAATACCTGTTGTAAAAATTACAGATAATGAAAGCTATTCTATTTATTATGCTTTATTAGACATAGATTACTTTACCCTTCTACCTCTTTTCTTCTTCCAACTGAAACAGCACCCAAAGCTCTCTATTGCTGGCCCTAGTGAGCAGAAGTCACATGTTTTAGGCAGCACATTCTGAGTTTATTTAAGGAATTAAGTCCTCATTTCATTTCTTTTGCCACTTTTCTAACTGAAATGAGAGAATTCACAGTTTCCGTGATTTAGTTAACATAAGTATCATGTAATGATTATGCACACAGGCTCTGATAGCAAGCTATCCATGTTCAAATCACAGCATAACAACTTTCTATATTCGGAAAATTTCTTAATTGATCTGTGCCTCAATTACCTATTTGTAAAATGGTGGTGATTAATAAGAGAGAGGCCAGCCATTGTGGAGCATGCCTATAATCCAACCAGTTTGGGAGTTTGAGAAAGTAGAATCACAAGTTTGAACCTAGCCTGTGCAAAGGCCCTGGGTTCAACCCCAAGTACTAAAAAAAAAAAAAAAAAAAAAACCTGGAAAGGCTTAAATTAGTTAATAGATGTAAGTAACTTACTGTCATGGTCACTTCCATATTTCTATAATACAACCAGGAATAAAGTAAAAACCATCTTGATCATTTATATATTTCTAACACTGAGACTATTCAAATTCATTATTTCTCTAGTGAAAACTATGTTGGGGCCATACTATTTACATCAACAAATGAATGGTTCCTTGTCAGTTTTTTCTTTTTTGGTATAAAATCTGCCCAAACTGTACATTTTAGGGCTAGCTCCCATTCAAAGGATTCTTAAACCATTACATTGTCTTCTTTGTCTCAGGTTCTACATCTTGTAGTTGGCTCCCTTGATGCTGTCCTACCACATGCTCCTAATTTTTAATCTTGGTCTGGAGCCCCTGTTTCCACCTGTAGAAATTTATTCTGTATCCCAACTCCCTCTATCTACTTTTTCTAGGGAGTTTCTAGGGAGTAGAGAGATGGGGAATGGCAAAATATGTGGGTTTGTATAATAGGTAGGGTGACCAGAAAGTCTATGTGTGAAATTCACATTTGAATACCTTATATATAACTGTCACCACAATAGTAGAATAAACATGGAAAATAATAAGCGTGTATGGAAAATGGAGGGGAGCATATCGATTATTTTTTCCTTTCCCCCTACCCTCTCTTTTGTTCCCCTCCCCATTTGAACATTTTCCTCCTATCTCAAAATACATTTTGGTCCTTATGTACAATTTTGGTTTCTCACACCAGAGGAACAATGCAGTATTTACACAATTCACTTAAGAGTATGGACTCAAGGTGCATATTGATTATTTTTGCTCACTTTTATTTGATAGATTGCAAATGAGTCTGAGGGGGAGGTCCCTCAGGATTGATTATTTTTGCTCACTTTTATTTGATAGATTGCAAATGAGTCTGAGGGGGAGGTCCCTCAGGGAATCATACTGACAGAGGTAACAGTGAAACACAGAAAAGAGACAGGCAGAAGCACAAAGAAATTCAGAAAGAGACACAATGGCACACAAAGTTTGAAGACAGAAAGGGCCACAAACAATGAGAAAAGGAAAGGGGAACTGATGGAGTGAGGGAGAAAAAGGGAGAGGGAGTGGGAGAAATAGAGAAGAGGGAGAAAGGAGGGCAGAGTAGTGAAAAAAATAAAAGCAAAGACAAAAACTAGACATAAAAATAAAGGTGGAAATAGACACAAAAGGAGATAGTGACAGAAATCTAGAAAGACTAAAACAGGAAGGACCAGGAAAGAATTAAAATATTGATAGGGCTGTCAATAGTAACTTGCTAAGGCTAAAATGACAGAAACAAGAGACTAGACATCATGAAAATGAAGTAAAAATAAATACATAGAGCCAAGTCTTGATCTCATGCTGGGCAAAACACACACACACACACACACACACACACACACACACACACACAGTGGGGTGGAATAGTCCCAAATGAGGATACATAGTCTCTTCTCTCTTTACAATACCTTTTTCAATGCCAAGTAGGTATGGATGGAGTTGGGGAAGAGTTATGATCTCCTACCCCTATATTTTGGCTTTGCTCAGGTGCCATCTGTCCCCTTGAGGAGTTGTGTGATGTTGCCCACCATTATGGAGCTTTGACCTTCGTAGATGAGGTCCATGCTGTTGGACTGTATGGGTCCCATGGTGCTGGGATAGGGGAACGTGATGGAATTATGCACAAGATTGACATCGTCTCTGGAACTCTCGGTGAGTGAATGCATTGGACCTCCCTTATATGCAGTCCAGAGAGTTTGTCTCTGTAAGACCCTTTACTTCCTTCTCCCCAAAGCTGCAGTTGAATTTGGGTAAAATTTAAAGCCCCAGATCACTGTCCTCCTGGATTCCTTTTCTCCATTCTCATCCTACTGTAAGGTGGCTGAGAAAGCCTGGGGGTGGGGTTTGAAAAGACCTCTGAGCTGGGCCAAATAGCCAGCCAGGTTCAACTTGAATAAGTGAAGAGCGGTATTTTCCTCCCCCACACCAGCCCCAAGCTTCATCTGAGGTCCACTCCTGGCCCTAATCAGCTAAAGGTCCCCACCCTGATCCTTCCTATCTAGTCACTACATATGGTAGAATTTGAAAGTCCTATCTTAGAGACACAGAATCATCAGCTCTGCCTGCCTTGTCATGAATAAGCAAGAAGAGCAGAGGCCTAGGAAGGGAGTCTGGAACCTCAGCTTCAGGTGCATGTTCCTGTTTTACCTGAGGCATGAACCTGTTCCTATAGAGATTATTTAAGGAGTTTGTGTATGTCTTTCTTTTCCCTGTCTCCAGGTAAAGCTTTTGGCTGTGTGGGCGGCTATATTGCCAGCACTTACCACTTGGTGGACATGGTGCGCTCCTACGCTGCTGGATTCATCTTCACCACTTCACTGCCCCCCATGGTGCTTTCTGGGGCTTTAGAATCTGTACGTGTGCTCAAGGGAGAGGAAGGCCAAGCCCTGAGGCGGGCCCACCAGCGCAACGTCAAGCACATGCGCCAACTACTAATGGACCGGGGCCTTCCTGTCATCCCCTGCCCCAGCCATATCATTCCTATCCGGGTAAGAACCCTGCTCCGCCCACTGCCTTCTCACCTATCTCTTCCGAGAGCCTTCCCACTCCCAGCAAACAGATATCTACTTCTGTCATAACTTTGTGTTCCTGTGAACCATCCTCCTTATAGCCAGCTTTATTCTTCTTTTTGAAAAATCATCAACCATTCTGGATTAATCAATATTTTTTTGCATCAGCTCTTATCTCACACTTGTTAAACTGTCCTGACCATCACAATACTGAGAACTCATGACTTACAATTCAGTGTTTTTCAAACTGTTTATCAAGACCACTAGTGTGACATAAAATCACTTTAGTGAGGTATGGTTAGCATTAAAAATAGAAAATATTGGACTACATCACAAACGGGGTATCAATTTGTGAGGAATTTGTTCAGTTTTGTATACGTGTATTTGTGTATGTATATGTATATGTACTCATACGGTTATACTGTAAAACATATTTGTTAATCAGAATTGAGGTCAGGAAAGTAAAGTTAAAAGCCATAGGACTGGCTTCTATTTTGGATTTTCAACTATGTTTGAGTGTTTACAATGCTTTAAAAAATGAACTGCTATTGGTACGTATTTGTGTGAACCGGTAAGACAAGGACATTTTTTGTGACAATTTTGTGGATGAGAAAGAAATATAGTCATTCCTTAGTATTTGTGGAGGATTGGTTCGAGGACCGTCCCCTCACCTCAACTTTACCAAAATCCATGACTGCTCAAGTCCTTTATATTAAATGGCATATTTGCATATAACCCACCCCATCCTGCCATATACGTAAATCATTCCTAGTTACTTATAATACTTACTACAATGTAAATGCTATAGAAATAGTTGTTGCACTGTATTGCCTAAGAAATAATAAGGAAAGTCTGTGTATGTTCATTACACACAGGTTTATGTTGTTGCTGTTGCTGTTTTTGGGGGTTTTTTTTGGTTTTTTGAGACAGAGTCTCGCTATGTAGTTGAGGCTGGCCTTGAACTCATTTTCTAGCCCAGGGTAGCCTTAAACTTGTGGCAATCCTGCTCAGCCTCTCAAGTGCTGGGATTCAGGCATGTGCCTCCATGTCCAGCCATACACAGTTACTAAAAGTTTTTTGTTTTTTTTTTTTTTTGGTTTTTCTCCGGTACCGGGAAACGAACTCACGACCTTGCGCTTGCCAGGCAGGCGCTTTTGCCGCTGAGCTAAATCCCCAGCCCCTAAAAGTTATTTTTGATCTAAAGTTGGTTGAAACCTTGGAGGAAAGAGTCAGTCTGGGTCTACAACAGGACCCACGGATATAAAGGGCCAAGTATAGCCACTGCTTCTAAGGCTAACCCAAAGTTCCCTTGAAAGACTGCTTTTTTAAAAGTTTTAAATTAACCCCATGATAGCAACATAGAGATGGCTTGGTAAGTTTGTCTCCTTAACCAGAACAATTCCAAATTTACCAAGGTGCTTGCTTTGCAAATAACTTTAAGACAAGGCCTCTGGTGCCACATGCATGCCTTCTTTAAACCTGATTAGTGGGTTTCAGATCCTCCTTGAGAGAAATTCTGAAGCTGCCACGAACTAACCCCCATATCAAAAACAAAAACAAAACAAACAAAGAAACAAACAAAAATCCCTCTGTCCCAAATTCAGTGGTATTCCTTGATCTGGGGCCCTCTGCTTAATAGAGTGAGTGGTAGTGTGCCCTGGGTGGCAGATACTAAAAGACCTTTATTTTGAGCCAGGTGGGCAATGCAGCACTCAACAGCAAGGTCTGTGATCTCCTGCTTTCCAAGCATGGCATCTATGTGCAGGCCATCAACTACCCAACTGTACCCCGGGGTGAGGAGCTGCTGCGCCTGGCACCTTCTCCCCACCACAGCCCTCAGATGATGGAAGATTTTGTTGGTAAGTCCTCAACAGCACTTCCCCACCCCTCAGCCCTAAGATCTGAAGAAGTCAAGAAGGTATTTTTCATTCAGATTAGAAATTATTTCTGAAACATCTGTTGTGTGCCAGGCCCTATAGTAGTGTCACAAATGAATAAGAAACAGCTCATAGACTCACAGGGCTCTAATGTCATGGGGAAGACCAAGGCAAACACATACAACATCAAGGGGCGATGAAAGCCTAACACAGACAGTACATAGATGAGGTATGGTAGCAGGAAGGAGGGGCAAAAAGAGGGGCATAACTTGGCCTGTGGTACCAAGATAGGACTCCTAGTGAAGGGGACACCTGAGCTGAATCTTGTAAGGTCAATCTTGCACGAGGACCAAGACAGCAAAGAAGGCATGGAAAAGGCATTCCTAGCAGAGGAAAGAGCATAAGGAAAGGCAAGGATGGATACAAGAAGCAACTTGAGATATATCAAGAACATTAAGCCAGTATTACTGGTATGCAAGGTAGTAGGAATAGAAAGATGGAGGAAAGAGTCAATCCGAGTCTACAAAGGCGATGGAAGATTGGGACCACATTGACAGGCTTGTAGAGATTACCAGTTCATATTTTACCCTGAAATATGCTAGTTCAGTCAATTCATCTAAAGTTCACTAGATTCCTGTTGGGTGTACTTTTTAATACAGGGCCTGGCATAAAGCAGGTGCTTGTTCCAGGTCTACTGGATGAGACATGTAGGCAGTCAGTGTTTTAGCAGGAGACAGACTATAGTGCTGGTCCAATGTGATGAGTTCTACTGTTCTCAGAGCTGAGGTGGGAAGAGTGAAATTCAGTATATGCTGAGAATATATTGAAAAGAATAAAATGTGAAGAGGGAGCCCCAGTAGAAGGTGAGTGTAATATTCTAGTGAGAGATGATAGAGTTTAAGACTGGATGACAGTAAGGAAGATGATTAAGCGGTTAGATTTGAAATGTCGAGCCAATGGTATTTGCTGATAGACTTAATATGGAGTAAGAGGAAAGGGGGAAAATAAAGGATGGCTCTTGGACTGTGCAAGTGGGATTGCTATCAACTCAGATGAGAAAGGTTGAAAGTAGAGCGGGCATGGTGGACGATGGGGACATGAGTAGCTCTGTTGTGTTCATGTATATTTAGTCATATCTCTTAGGAATCCAAGTTGAAATGCAGAAAGGCTACCAGGCATACAAGTCTGGAAATCAAAACAGTTCTGTACCACAGATGAAAATTTAAGAATCATCAGCAAATACTGTAGATGGGATTTCAAACTACTAGACTAGGCAAGATCACCAAGGGCATGAACACAGAAAAAAGGCTAAGGGTAGAGCGCTGGTATACACAAGATACTTCCAACAGCTGGGTCAGGTTCTCTCCTCTAAGTTTCTGCACAAGAGCGACACCCCACATACACTGCCCAGGACTCCTGCTCATAACTCTGATGACACTGTGTGGTTAGTGTTAGTCTCATCTTCCTCACCAGGGTAGGAGTTTCTAAGCCAATAGATTCACTTTCCAGGCTACATGTACCTGTACTTATGAAGTGGTCCACACCAGAATAGTATGACTTCAAATGTGGCAGAGGAGTGCTTCCCAATCTTCTATACATCCTGGCACTCAGACAAATATAATATTCATGGCTCACACCGGAGCAAATAGATAAAGCTACTTATGGCCTTGAGGCACCTCAAAAGTTTGAGGGGATCATTACCTCGGTACATCTATACTGTGACACAGGGGTTTGCAAGACTAACCCTAACCAATTATTTCCTTCCCCTCCCCCTACCACTTTCAGGTAAGCTGCTGGTAGCCTGGACTGAGGTGGGGCTGCCCCTCCAGGATGTGTCTGTGGCTGCTTGCAATTTCTGTCACCGTCCTGTGCACTTCGAGCTCATGAGTGAGTGGGAACGCTCCTACTTTGGCAACATGGGACCCCAATATGTTACCACCTATGCCTGAGAAGCCAGCTGCCTTAGATGCTTACCCCATCTGCACTTCACATGGGACCGGGCCTCCTCCTGTCTTCTGCTTTCTTGTGTGCCTCTAGCTGACCAGATTCTAAAAATAAAGAGCAAATTGCATCATTTGTCACCTTTCATTGGACGGAGAACAAATACACTATACTGGACTTCCTCAATCAAGTGCCAGGTCCCAGAAGAAAACCACAGATCACTTATTGGTGTGACCACCCCATGTTGCCGACAGGGAAATCCAGAAAGAGGGAAAAAAATGGGCAAAAACTACACAATGAGTAGCACGAAGAGACAAAACATTTGGCAGATTTGAAATCACTTTCCTAATAGTTTCAACGAAAATTCAGGGCTCATTTTTTATACTTTTTATTACTGCTTGCTCACAGTACATGATGTTTATCATGGAAAGCCTGTACATGTACACAACTCTTCTTGTTGTCTCCTAACTCTCCCATCTCTCCCTGGTCCTTCCATCTCTTGGTCCCCTTCCCACTTGAAAAAGATCTTCCTACTTCCTATTATCTACTTTATTTTGCTTTTTTATATTTTGGGTTTCTCACATAAGAGAAACCATGCGGTATTTAAGCTTATATGATTGATTTCACTTAACATTACAGTCTCAAGATACATCCATTTATGTATGTCTTGAGTTTATCCTTCTTTATGCATAGTAGTATTCCATTATATATAAATACATTTTCTTTATCCATTAATTTATTGATGGGCATATAGGCCATTTCTAAGATTTAGCTACTATAAATTATTCTGCTTATAAACAAAGGCATGAGTATATCACCGTAATATTGTGGGAACATACCTAGAAGGGGAATAAGTGAGTCAATTAGACTCTTTGGTTTTGGTTTTATGAGGACTCTCCATACTGATTTCCATAGCATTTTTACCAGTTTATATTCCCACCAGCAGTGCAGGATTCCTTCTTACCCACAGCCTTTTCAACATTTGTTATTTGATTTCTTGATAGCCATTCTTTCTGAAGATAAAGTCTCAGTGTTGTTTTAATTTGCATATCTCTCATGGCCAGGTGTGTTGAAACTTTTTTCATGTATTTATTGTCCATTTGCATTTCTTTTGAGAAATGGCCATTCATTTCACTTACCCATTTTTTTTTTTGGAGTCTTTTATGGGAGGTGTGTCTAATTGTTTTGAGATCTTTATATATTCTAGATATTGGTCCTCTGTCCAAGGAATAGATGGCAAAATTTTTTTCCATTCTGTAAATGTTATCTTCACTGGTTGTTCCTTTGCTGTGCAGCTTTTTGATCTGATGTGATCCCAATTCTTAACTCTTGGTACTACTTCTTGTGCCACTGGGGTTCTATTCAGAAAGTCCTGACCTGTGCCTATGTCTTCAAGAATTGTACCTATTTTATCTTCCAACAGATGAAGTGTCTGTTTTAACATTTAGATCTGTGATCCATTTTGATTTTAGTTTAGTACATGGTGAGATATATGGGTTTGGGCTCAATCTTCTGCATAGAGATATCCAATTTTCACAGAATTTATTAAAGGGCTATCTTTCCCCCAGTGTGTTTTTGGCCACTTTTTCAAAGATCAAAGTTGAATGTACTGGGGCTGTTTCTGATTCCTTTATTCTGTTCCATTAATCTGCATGTCTGTTTTTGTGCCAGTGCCATGCTGTTTTTATTACTATAGCTTTGTTTAACTTCAAATCTGGGATTGTGATGCTTTCTACCTTGCTTTTGTTACCCAGGATTGCTTTTGCTATTCTGGGTCCCTTCTGGTTTCATATGAATTTTAAAGGATTACTGTTGGCATTTTGACTGGGATTCTTTTAAGTCTATGTATCAGTTTTGGAAGTATACCCATTTTGGCTATATTGGTTCTCTCTATCCAGGAACATGGAATATCTTTCCATTTCTGATATCTTCTTCAATCTCCTTTTTCAACATAGAAGTCTTTCACCTCCTTGGTTAGGTTAATCCCTAAGTATTTAATTTTTCTTGATGGTACTGTGAATGCATTCTTCCTAATTTCATTGTTAGCAAATTCATTATCAGTGTACGGGCACATTATTGATTTTTACATGCTAATTTTGTATTCTGGTACATTGTTCAATTTGGTTAATTTTAAATATCTTTTAGTGGAATATTGGGTTTTCTATGTAGAGGATCATGTCTTCTGCAAAAAATGATACTCTGATGCCTTCCCTTCCTACTTGTATCCCTTTTCTTCCTTTCTCTTGGCTAACTGCTCTGGATAATGTTTTGAGGTCTATATTGAACAGGAGTGGAGATAGTGGGCATCCTTCTCTAGTTTCTGTTTTCAGAGGGACCTGGAAACCTGGGCCTCAGGTAGCCTCTAAAGCCAGGAGATGAGTCAGTTCCAACCAAACTGCCTAGAAGGTAGGAATGGCTCCTCCATACTGAGGTTATTTTCCAGAAGTGGGTCTGGGTATCTTTTTCAACTGTTTGCTCTTTCTCTCTCATAGCATAGTACTTACCAGTCCCATTTCTAAGGTGATAAAAGAAGCTTGGTTATAGAAAGCAACACGTCCAAGGTAAACTTCCCAATAGGGAACTAATGACAGTACCTGCTGAAGAGGCAATCTTCCCTGAGATTTGTTGTATCTCAAACCAAGTCTTGCAAGTCTGAGGGCTCAGATTATTCCTTTTCACTCTGCAACCCATATATGGCAGCTGGGGAATAAGACACACTAGTTGGGCAGGTATTGTTTAGGCTACACAGTCCACCACGTTTTTACCACACCACACCACACCACCTACCTACCTCTCTTCCTGACCCAAACTCAGTAGTTCAGGGAACCTCTACAAGCTAGCAGAGCTGTTTATAATGAGCACCACTCTTCTCAACTCCCCTCTCCCTAGGTGTTGTATCACTGGGATACAGGTAGCTGGCAAACCCTGTACTGAGATAAATGCTGTACTGAGCCAGCTTCTGACTCTAGAACTATATGGAACTTATCAGAAACATCCATTCAACGTGATACTCTGTAACAAAGACACTTTATTTATGAATATTTTACAATAAGGACAGATAGGGTTTAAAATGGTAACTACTTGAAACACCTGGTTCCCACATACTCCTGATAGGAAGGTGGAAAAGTGGGGTACAGGACTGGGTCAGAGTATTAAGGCATAAAAAAGTTTGCCAATAAAGAAAAGTTAAGTAACAGGAAAGAGGAAGAGAGGCTTCAGAGGAGGATAAGAAATTACACCATGAAAGATGGGAGCCTTTTGAGAGGAAGAATAGGAACACAAAGAAGAGAAGGATGAAGAAAGGAGAAAAGGAAGCTTTGGGAGAGAAGGCAGCATTAGCAACTTGGGAGATGGGATGAGGTCCTATGCAGGGATGACCATGCTAAACATCTCTAGCCCTCAGTTGGTTCAGTTGGGCCTTGTCCATTGGAAGAAGTTGCAGCGGGAGGAGGGGTCACTGGGAGGACCCTGAGGCCTGGCACACATGTAGAACTGGCGGCCCAGGTTGGGTCCTGCCTTCTTCACAGTACGCATCACACATGGCTCCCTGTGGCCCCTACACAGAGGCATGGGAAAAGGCCCTCGCAATACAGACTTCCAGAATGAGGTCAGTACCTCCTTATTCTCTTTGGCTCCGGAAGACTTGATCTCCCCTTCTACCACTTTGGCTATTGCCTCTTTTTCTGGAGTCTCTGTGGTCCCGAGGGTTCCCACCAGAGGCACAGTAGGCAGCTTCAAGTCAGAAGAAGTTTGGGGATGGCTAGAAGAGGGCTGGAAGTAGCTTGTCATGTTTTTCTGGCTTCTTCTGGAGCTAGCTTGACTTGCCTGAGACCTGGTTAACCGAACGCAGAATTTGTTTTGCCGTTTCTGTACCTGAGTTTGATTGCTAAGTTGCAAAGCTGGTGGCTCCAACACAGGTTTGTGTTCCAGGGGAACTAGGAAACGAAGAATCTTGAGCTGAGTGCCTGCAAACTCAGGAAAAAAGCGCGTACACAGGGGTGGGCAGTGCTTTGCAGGCACAGAGGATACACTCAAAACAGCACCCACAGGACAGTGGTCAGAGCCCATAACCTCAGGGAGCAGGAAAGAAGCCTGTAAGGTGTCCATGACCAGGGTCCTGTCCCCTAGCACATAGTCAAGCCGGCAGCCATAGTTGTGATGGCGGGCGCCACTGACCACTGACCAGCATGTGAAGGCCCCTTCTTGCTGTGGTTGAAGATAACGGTAGGTATCAATGAAGGGTCCCGCGTGGGACCCACTTTGGCAACATATGTTATTAAGCAAACCATCCATCCACTTGCGCCCTGGGTCCTCTTCAAAGTACTCCTGGGAAAGGGAAATGGGGACGAAGAGCAAGTTAGAACTAGATGCCTAGAACTGGAAAAGAAACTCTCTGCTTCATTTTACAAACAAGAAAATTTGATTCAAGGTCACACTGACCAGAACTGGCAGAGCTAGAATTTGATTTCTAACCTTACTGATGTAAAAGCCTGTTCTTATGCTTCCTCTATACCACACTGTTCTTACTTTGCACTGGTCTATAAATGCCAAATTATACGGGTCAAGAGTTACTTAATCAAAGCAATTTCCAGAACTGTTTTTCAAAGGAATGGAAAACAGGAAAAATAGCTGTTTCTAAAGAGTAGTAGGGTAGGGATAGGAGTTAGGTAGAACACTGTCTTTCTCTTTAAATCCTCTGGTGCTATTTGGTTTATCATGTGTCAAAATTCTCCTAACCACACCTCTTCCTATGATCAAGGTTGCAGAGACACATGTCTGATACTTCCTCTGGCTCATTCCCGATCTATCCATCTATCAAATCCACCTAACTCCCACTCATTCAATCCAATGAATATTTTATCCCAGACATGACGCTAGGGACAAAAGAGATCTAGTTGTGGGGAAGGACTTGACCTGGAACCAAGGTGTGAAGGCCAAGCAGGAATAACCTAGGTAGAAAGCAGATAGCTTCAAACTACAAGAACAGCCTCTTGTACAGGTCACAGAAGTCTTTTATTTTGATTGGTGTGGCATGAGAGCAGAGGAAACACAGGTAATTTGTTAATCCAACACAGAAATCTTCTACATGACACAGGTCAAGAAGACAAAAAGTTTTCATATTCTAGAGCAGTGGTTCTCCATCCTGGTTGCAAAATAACGTAACCCTGGGGACTTTTAAGACATACCACTACCCTGGCCCTACAATCATGAGATTCTGATTACTGTTCCCACAGTAGTAATTAAATATTTTTGTTCTAATAAGTAATCAAGGACTAAAAGCAACTGATCTACAGTCAAACAGAGGAGAGAGATTCATAAAAGAAAAAAGATAGAAGGGAGGGAATAGTCACAAATTTGAGGCACAGTGAGAAAACCCAGCATAAAAACATGATTAACCATAGGCATAGGAGACATCTGTCTGGGGTGGATGGCATGTGCAAGGGTACTGAACCGGAAATGAAGGCGAGGGACAGACCAGAAAACGCCTTGAATGTCTAGTCCTGATGTTTTCTCTGTACTATAGAGGTAAGAGGGTGAAGTTGAAGGCTCACGAGTGGAAAATACAGTGTATTAGAGAAATAACCATGGCAATGTTGATTCAAGGCCCTCAGAATTTGGCCCCCAGTGAACTCTCCAGTTCCACTTTCTGCCACTTACCTCCCTTCCCATGAGTCTCTACCAAGAATGGGACTTGCAGTTCCCTGAGCATACCAGGCCACTTCCCAACTTGAAACCTTCGTGCATGCTGTAACATTTACCTCCCCATGCTCCAAAGCTCTGTTCTGCTGATCTTTTAAGATTCAGCCATTCTTAACTGCCTGCCCTGATGTCCAGGCTTGCAAGTAATATTATCACTGGGCTTCCTTAGTCCTCTGTGCTGCCATCTCTGCCTCAGCCCAAAAAACATCACTCTGAAATTCTTTGGCCATCTGTCTGTAGCATACACTGAGACCTCCCAGGGCCAAGCGCTGGATCTGACTCATAACTGAGTTCCCAGCACATAGCTTCAGGGCCAAGCCAAGGATAGGGTCAGTAATGTCTGTCAAATGAAGGATCAATGCTCAATACTCTTAGAACAGTATTTCAGTAGGACTATATCAAACAAAAAAAGCATCCACATAGCAAAGGAAACAATTCAGAGTGAAGAGTTAACCTTCAGAATGGGAAACTATTTGGAACCAGTCACTCAGTAAGGGGTTAATATCTAGAACATATAGCAAACTCAAACAACTCAACATCAAACCAACAAAACAAATAATCTAACTCAAAAATGGGCAAATGATCTGAATAGATATTTCTCAAAAGAAATACAAATGGCCAAAAAGTGTGTGAAAAAAATGAGCAATACCACTAATTACTAGGGAAATATGAATCAAAACCACAATGAGATATCATCTCACTCTAGTTAGAATGGCTACTCCCAAAAAGACAAAAATAGTAAACACTGGCAAAGATGCACAGAAAGGGGAACTCTCAAATAACTGTTGGTGGAAATGTACATTAGTATGTCACTTTGGAAAATGTTATGGTTTTTCCTCCAAAAGTTTAAACCCACTTCTAGGAATTTATCCAAAGGAAATGAAATCACTGTATCAGAGACAACTGCACTCCCATGATTATCACAGCATTATTCATAACAGCCAAGATAGTAGGCTAGAAGCAGCAACACTCAGAAGAGACTCACCAAAGTCTGTACGTACTTAGATACAGGTGTTGAACAAAAACTCAGCCATGGGAAGGGATCTTGAAGAGGCCCATCAAATGAAATCCAGTAGCAGAAGTATTTAGAATAAGGACTGCTTCTTGATTTTGCCACTATTTACAGTCCGGGTGCAGTGAATACATCATCTTGGGAAAAGTTCAAATACCCCGAGGGAAGAAGCCCAGCGTAGCAGTTGCAAATAGAGAGTGTAGAAGACTGAGACAGGCAAACCTGGCAGAGCAAATAGTAGAGCCTGTGGCAGAAACCTGGAACGTGAGGTTGGAACCCAGGAACCTGAGGTTGTTACCTGTCAGTGGGACGAACACCAGAGGCTCCAGAACATGGTACCCTTTCCATGTTTTTGTTCTGTGGGTTTTTTGTATGTTCTTTCTTTCTTGTTTGATTTTTTTTTGAGTGGTAGGACTTTGTATGTGTACATAAATAGTTATAGCTATGTGTATCAATTTTCTATTGTTGCATATAAAACATTTCATGCAGGTAGGTCACATATGCTCAATTCAAAAGCTGTTTCTTGCTGTTACCTAACCTTACTTCACTGTTACTTTAACAACTGAATGCACTCTCCCTGTCTCTTCTCTTACCCTCTAGCTACCATCTCATCTTTTCCTCACCTTTCTTATCTTTGCCATTACACCTTCTCCTATCTATTGGCTCCTCTCACTGATATTTTTATTTTTTCTTTAATTTTCTCTACTTTTCTCTTTAATACATTAAGATTAATCTAAATACTGTAGATCTTACCATCTCACATTAAGTTGCCCCTTAGCGGCCAATCAAACTCAATGGAAGAATGATAGCCTCTTTAATAAATGGTGCTGGAAAAATTGGCTCAATACCTGCCAAAAACTGAAAATAGACCCAAGCCTATCACCATGCACCAAACTCAAGTCAAAATGGTTCACAGATCTCAATATTAAACCAGAAACACTAAATCTATTGGAAGAGAAAGTAGGTAAAAACCTTGAAGACATAGGGGTAGGCAGAGAGTTCATGAATAAAAACCAAATTGCACGTGAAACACTTGAAAGAATCAACAACTGGGATCTCATCCTACTGAAAAGTTTCTGCACATCTAAAGAAATCACCAGCAGAGTCAAAAGAAAACCCACAAACTTGGAAAAAATTTTAGCTGATTGTCCCTCAGACAAAGGGCTTCTATCTAGAACATATAAAGAATTAAAAAATTTCAGCCCCTCCAAATTCAAAGACCCAATCCAAAAATGGGCAGCTGAGATGAACACACATTTCTCAGACAAGGAGATACAAACGGCAAATAAATATATGAGAAAATGTTCAACATCATTAGTCATTTGAGAAATGCAAATTAAAACAACACTAAGATTCCACCTTACCCCAGTAAGAATGGCTAGCATTAAGAAATCAACCAATAACAAATGCTGGCGAGGCTGTGGAGAAATAGGAACCCTTCTCCACTGCTGGTGGGAATGCAGACTGGTGAAACCACTGTGGAAATCAGTTTGGAGATTCCTCTGAAAACTAGGTTTAGAGGTCCCATTCAACCCAGCTATCCCCCTGCTGGGTATTTTCCCAGAAGATCTAAAAACATCATATCACAGTGATATATGTGCACCTATGTTCATAGCAGCACAATTTGTAATTGCTAAAATGTGGAAGCAACCCAAATGTCCATCCACCGAGGATTGGATAAGAAAATTATGGTACTTTTATATAATGGAATATTACTCAGCTGTAAAGAAAGATAAACTCGAGACCTTTATATTTAAATGGTCACAACTAGAGACCATACTCATAAGTGAAATAAATCAAACATACATGTGCAAGCACCGCATTGTGTCACTAGTGTAAAACTTGAAAGAGTTAATTTAAACTCGGAGGTATGATAGACACTGTGAAATGATAGGAAACCACCGAAGAGTAAAGGGCTTCTGGGATGTGGGAAAAGAGAAGGGAAAGAAGGAAAAATTTTGTATGTATGTATATACAGGATAGATAACATGGTTGTTCTTCTATCTGCTGTTTCTATGCTGAAAGAAACTGTCAATGAGTCTTTGGTTGACCAGTATTGCATGTCTATATCTGTTTTCATGAGAAGCCACTTTGAAGATATCAATATGTAATACAACCACCATTGTTAATTCCCTACCACTTTGTTTGTAACTCTGTATTGTCTGTATTGTGCTTGTGATATGTTGTAAAATGTTGTATGTCTGTTAATGTTTCCCTCCTTTTATCCTTAAAATAAAAAAAAAAAAAAAGTTGCCCCTTAGCAAAGACTGTTATATATAGTTTATAAAATTATTAGGTCATTAATTGGACTTAATCTCCATATATCCTCATTCACTACGTACTTAAAAAAGTTCTTCCCCTAATTCTTTCCTTACCTCCCCTCTCACAAGTCTCTCCATCGTCCTGTTTTCTTCTATATAAAAACTTCATTCTGCTTATTTTTCTGTTTTAAAGCATAGGTGACGGGCATGCGTTTATGAGCAACTGTATGCTAAACATGATTTTTTTAGACAGTGTCTTACACTGACCTATCAGGTTCTGTCTCACCAAAGGCTATTGTTTAGGTCTTCTAACATAGGGTTTCTGCTAGTTTACAAATCGTATACAATCTCCG